GTTTACACCTCGGCTGCTGCGCTCGCCGAGTCACTCAATGCCGAAGAACTCCACAAGGGCCTCATCTACCCCAGCATTGAGCGTGTCCGTGACGCTAGCTTGGTCGTTGCCCGTGAAGTCATGAAGGCTGCCCGCAGGGAAGGCGTCTCAAAGCTCCCTGAATCCCAGTGGGTCGAGTGGAAAGAGTGGGGCGATGTCGCCCTGACTGCCTACATTAAGGACCGCATGTATGACCCCATGTCGTTCGGTACCGAGAAGGCCCGCTTCTAGATGCACTGGCAGGAACAGAAAAATGGAGTGAGGGGAGAAGCAGTGTCTCCCGGGTGTGAGCGGTTGAATTTGACTGGCGCTGCACATGATTATTCGTCGATGAAGAGAAGGAAAACATTTGCGCCACAGAAACATGGTTTTTGGCAGAGCGCGCGACGCCACGCGATGCCGAGCGCCTGATCCTCAGGATTGGGAAGGCATATATAAGATACCAACCTTTCGGATCTCAAGAGTTGAGATAACTTTACTTTTGATTAGACGGACCTTATCTTTACGAAGGTACCTGATGGGATAGATTGCTCCAATGAGCTAATACAAGTATTTATGAATTGGATTATCATTATTATTGCTCAAAGTGATGAAATGAATGACATGGGCATTGACGGGAGTCTCGATGTTACAAGAGGAATTCAAAGGCAGTGCCTGGGGGTTAGATGCCGGGATTTCGGAAGGCAAACGCATGCAAATTCCGCATCCCGGATTTTCTGTGTGTGACATGCCCACCTCCGGCCGGCATCAAATGGAATGACTCTCTCCTCTTTCAACTTTCGACTTCCAGGGATGTTGTGCTTGCTGGGACCGCAATGTAGCATTTGTATCGATGGGTGTCGGTGGACTCCAAGAGAGCTAAAGACGGGCACTTGTAACAAGGGTGCTGACGCCTAACGATCTCGAATCTTGAGCGCGGAGAATACGCATGGTCCCTACATGAAGTATTAGAAGCTCATTCGGAGCAGTTATTAAAATCGTGTCTCTGCTATTATTAAGCTTGATAATGATTATAAAGACGCACAAGCTTGTCATGCCGAGGGCGGAACTAACCCGGAGCTTTTTCAGGCTGCCAAACTGGTCAGGCTAGCAGACTATCCGGGTTGTCGAGATGATGACATTGCAGGATTGAAGATTGACAAGCATGCGCACGGCAGTCTAATGTCAGACTTCGGAGCCTAGAAGGTCTCCGTCGCGGAGAAGTGGGCCCGTCGGAGCGGACCTGGCGGAGTTTTGTCATGTGGGGAGACCGTTGAATCGTCGCTGTGACAGACACCAAGCTTGTAGCAAGGCAAACCTGTTTAAAGAGCTGTCGTTCGGCACCTTTCTGTCGCCGAACGTCCGGATTACGGATCACGACTTTGTTCACATCTAGTTTCGCCGGCGTAAACTCAAACCTATACCATGAAGATCGGAGTCCTTGGTGCCACCGGCGAGACCGGCGCCTCCATCGTCAATGGCCTCCTTGAGCACCCTCACCCTTTTGTAAGCATGCCTCGGCCAAAGTTCGCTCGGCAAACCTTAACGAGCTGCGCCAGGAAATCACGGCCTTCACTCGGCCATCCTCTCTCCAGAGCTCAGCCAACGAGGCCCTCCGCACCCGCGGTATCAACGTCCAGCCCCTGGACCTAACGAGCGACCCCGCCGCCCTCGCGACGGCCCTCGCGGGCCTCGAAACGCTCGTCTCCGCCGTCAACTTTACCGGCCTCGCCTCGGAGCCCGCCCTCGCCACAGCCGCCAAGGCCGCCGGCATCGCCCGTTTCGTCCCGTGCTTCTTCGCCCCGATCGCCCCGCCCAAGGGCGTCCTCTCGCTGCGCGACATCAAGGAGGACAACCTGAACCACATCAAGAAGCTGCGCCTGCCCTACACCATCCTCGACATTGGCTGGTGGTACCAGCTGACGCTGCCGCTGCTCCCCTCGAAGCGCAACGCCTACGCCCACGTCGGCGGGCCGGACCTCATCGTCGGCGACGGGGCCACGCGCTTCGCCCAGACCCACCTCGACGACGTCGGCCGCCTGCTCGCGCTCGCCGTCCTCGACCCGCGCACCCTCAACCGGTCCGTCTTTGGCTTTGGCGCGCTGACCTCGCAGACCGAGGTCTTTGACCTTCTCGAGCGGCTGAGCGGCGAGACGATTGAGCGGGCGTATATTGACGCGCAGACCGTCACGACGACGTGCGAGGTGCTGTCGGTAGCTGACCTCGCCCTCGGCAGCCCCGAGTGGTTCAAGCGCGCACAGTTTGAGTACTGGAACAGCTGGGGCCTGCGGCGCGACAACACGCCCGAGATGGCGGCGTATCTCGGCTACCTCGACGCGCGCGAGCTGTACCCCGATTTTGAGCCGCGCACCCTCGAGGAGTATGCCAAGGAGGTGCTGGCGGGAGAGGCCAAGGGGGTCTATGCTGAGATGAAGGCTACAGTTGCTGCTGGTACCAACTCGTAGCCCATGCCATGAAAAGCATCATTAGAGATAGAACGAACGCTGACGAACTTTACCCACACTAGTACAGTGCATCGTATGTCATTCACGCCGCAGTGACCCATGCACATGGTGATATCGAAAGCTCCGAAGTATGACATGCTGATTCTCTAGCCCGAAGCTTATCTAACTTGCTCTGTCATAACCTCGAATATCTGCTTTGACAGAAAAATGAAAATGGGTATTGTATGCTCTGTGCTATGAACAATGAGCCGCCGCCAAGAAAACATGCAGCGCCAGGGAAAATACAAAAGTAAAAGAGATATGGTAGTAGAATGATCGTATGAACGAAGGTAGGAAGGTTGAATGAATGTGTGTGGTAGGTGTGTATGTGTCGATGGCGTGTCAGCCAGTGAAAGTGCAGTAGGTGCTGTGTTTCGTCTAGTTTTGTGTGGTGTCGTATCGGCTTCCAAACGCCGGCTCGCTTCGATATGCAACGCACGCCATGCTCCCCAACGTGCCACCCTGGTCCGCTCCTTTGCCCTAGAAAATGAATGTCCGCTCTGCCGCTTACTTACTGTAACCAGTTCATCCTTTCCGAAACAGTCGTTTCGTGCCGCCAACGCGACCCATATCCCCAAACCGTCCATCCTCTGCTGGTTTGCGCTCTCCGCTGGCGATGCGCACTTTCTGCTTGACGCTCTCCACCCAAGCTTTGCTCTCCTCGCTCATTTCAACCTTGCGACCTGTGGGGCCCGCAAGGCCCAGCGACGTGTCCTCCTCTGCCCAGCTCAGATGGGAGCTGGATCTTGACCTTGAGGATCCATCTGACGATGGACCATCCTGCCCTGAAGCCTCTTGCGGCGGAGCAGGTGTCTGCGGGCATTTTGGGGCAGGCGGGGTGGTCTAGCAGACGATGCCATAGCGGCAGACCTCTCACCAAGGCTGCTGGCGCCGAAAGACCTCCTAGTCTTGCGAACATTCAATGGCGCCACGGGAGAGTACTCCATAGCAGATACTGGCCGACCCGTGGACTGGCCGTTGATGCTCTGCAGAAGTCGCTACACGTGGCAGGTCGCGTACCTCAATCTTCGTATTGGCGTCGGGATTTCCTGATCTTCGTTCGTGGTGAGTAGCATACTCTTTGAGGTACTCGCCCAGATCGGGCCCAACCGCCACCAACACGAACCATCACACGCTCGCCGTTCTCGCCAACACATCTTATGAGTAGCTTAATTGGGGCTTCGCCAGTGGATCGCGATAGGTGATACACTTTGGTGTCGGTACCTTGTTGACGCTTAGGGCGGGGATTTTTGCCGTACGCCGGCGCCAGCAGAAAGGCTGGAGTGGATGCACGGGTAGAGGCCCGCGTCGATGCTCGAGATGACAGGTTAGACGCGCTTCGTCGAATGGGATCCCGGAGAGGCTTTTTGGCCTTTTGAAAAGGTAGGTCCGGTGGAGGTGGGTTAAGGTTGACCCTGCTAGGAGTAGATCCAAGCTTGATGTTGGCAGGGATAGACTGCAAAATGTCGCTGATTTGCTGTCTAAGGTGCTCGTCACCTCCGATCGAATTTCTGTGAGGGCTTCCAACATATGAGACGGTCTCATCAAGATCTTCCTCGATGAAGGAAGATGATGGTTCGATGAATGAAGAGGATTGCAGGTCGTCGTCATCATGGATGGGTCCCACCATCGGGCCGGCACTGTCGTCCCTATAACTGGGACGTGGGGGTGAGCTGGACGGGCTGCGAGAGTAAGACGTGTCTCTTCGTCGGGCGAATTCCGGGAATGTTGATGTGTCTGGTCCATCGGATGCAGGCGGCGAAAGCAAGTCACTGCCTTGTTCAACAAAAGGCTTGCGAGGCAGCGGTGGCGAAGCGGAGATTTCAGGCATGTCGCTGAAGCCATCCTGGCTGGCAAACCCATGAATCACAGTCGAAGAGCAAGAAGCAGAGCTGGAGCGTCGGCCGCCGTGAATGAGTGGCGGTAACTCTGGCTCGTCATCTGAGCCGGCAGAGAAACCTGGGCTGCCTCCTGGACTATCAATGGGAGGTGACTGACCAGTATCCTCAAGGATCTGAGCGTTTAACGCTTTATGTGTTTGTTGGGAAACCGGAGTATGGGATGGTGAGCCTAGAACTTGGCTCAGAGTTGCAGTCTGTGTGCCATTGAATGCCGAAGGGGATGGCACGTCGTATTTCACCGGATCAACATCATCTGCCGAGCCGTCATAGCTTTCATGCCGCTTGTGAAATGAGACGGGTGTCCGGAGAGGAGATCGGGAGGGGTGCCCCGAAGACGAGTTCATGTCTTGAGCCTTGGGTTCGAGTGTTGCCGAGAGTCGCTGCGACTTAACAGGCGTCTTCGGAGGCGTCATGTCTCTTGTTTGAGTTTCAGTATCCTTGTCAGATGAGACATCGTCGACGACATCGTCAATCGGAGGCTGAATGGTGATGGGTACAGGTGCCGCGCGCGTACTGCTTGATGATATCGAATCCCGTAGCTTAAGGGGAGAACCATCTCCAATCGTCCCAGTCGTGGCCTTCTGCATTGGCTTCTGTGGAGGGTTGATGGCAGCTTTGGCCCGTGCCGTCTTGGACCATTCTGCCTCTCGGATCTTTCGCTCACATGCCACATACCAAGCAGCATACCCATGCTCTGTGGCTTCCATGCGATCGATCCAGCTCTCGGGGACTGTATCAGTCTGACCCTCAAGGCTATCTAGCATAGCATCGAGGTCACGGCCAGGCCTCGTGATCTTCTTCTGCAGAACTACCTTCATTATGTCAAACTCAGCATTGGTCAATCCAGGTTCCTGGCCAGGGCTGCCGAGTGCTGACACGGGGTTTCTTGGTGGTGCTGAAATGACACTCCATCCCGACTCCAGCGCAACTTCAGCGTCGGTTATGGCGGCGAGAAGTGATGGAATGCCACGCAGCACGGTGATCCGAATTCGCCAAGTATTCAGCATACGGCTGAGCTTGGAAAGATTTGGAAGGGCTTGCATGATGATTGCTGTGATCACAGCGGCCAGGTCGTCTAGCCGGTTGAAAGTTGCCATGGATAAAATTGGACGGCCAGTGTCGGACAAAGGGGTCCCAGGTCTTGAAAGCGGGAGAATGTGGTTGTGCAAGACGTGCGTCTTAATATCGTCGAGCTCTAGATCGTCCAGCTCGTGGGAAATTTGTTCGACACGGTCGTCGTAGGCCGCAACATCATCGGCGGCAAGGCTGCCGAGGAAGATACTGCTGTCTCTGTTGTCGCAGCGAATCGTCTCCTTTAAGAAGAGTTTCTTTCTGGTCGTAGATGGCGCCTCAAAGCCGGCTGAGCCGCCATCGGCAGGCCATGGCCATTCGAGGAGCTCATCGAGCCACTCGTAGATCTTCTGGCTCGCTACAGCCGTCCGCATAACAAAATCTCGCTCGTTAGCTGTAGCGGCATCGAGACATGCTTTCAGTGAGGGTGTGGGGTGGTCCAGGACATCGACGGCAGACAAGGGCGTCAGCTGGCTGAGCAGGTCGTCGTGTAGGCGCTGGCGGGTGGGGGAGTGCTCGTCGGACAAGCGGTACTGGCGCCTGGTAACGGGATTGAGTTTGTAGCCAGGCCCCGGCGGTACGGGGGTTTTGAGAGGATTGCGATCGGACATGATGGCGGTTTGGCGGTGTTTGTTGCTGCTGCTGCTGTTGGTTGGTCAGGTTAGTCGTCCGTCCGATGTGACGCGTTCGGTGGCGTCAGGCATGGCTCGCGGATTGTTATATCGGCGGAGAGGCAGCGGGCAGGCTGATGAAGGCCATCGTTGTCGAAGATGAGGTTGACTTGGAGGACGACGTTTCGGGTGGAAGTGGTAGCACAGGTTTCGAGAGTTCTCGTAATGAGCGTAGGCGTGGGTGTTGGTGCTGGATGCTTTCGGCAAGGTAGGTAGGTAGGTAGGTTGATCGGATGGGGGGGAGGATCGCTCTGGCTCGCCTTTCCTGAAGCAACTGGCCCTCTCGTTTCTTTGTGCAACGACAGGCGTCGCCGCTAGGTGACGAGACGGCAGGCGACAGGTAGGCACAGAAGAACGTGGTCTGTGAAACCGGTCGCACCTTGTGTGGACACGAGGCAACGGCGGTGCTCTAGATTGATGATGTCGGCGGCCTGTGTTCGAGTTGGTGGGCTGAAGGAGCGGGAGGAGTGGCTGAGAGGAATGTCGCAAGGGTTCATCAGGCAGTGACAACGCGCGCAGGTGGCAGCTTCCCCACGATGCAATGCGGGTACCGGGATGAAAACAGGGCTCACGCAGCCCAGAGTCACGTAAGGTGAGCAAGCACGACCCCCGGGATCGCCGCTGCTGCAAGACACTGACGCAGAGAAGAGAAGGAACGAACAAACGCCCAAAGCAAACGGGAGGTTGTCAAGGTGCGAGATCAGAGGAAAGGAGTTGTTTGGTGACTCTGGCTGGGTCGCCAGCAATCGGTCACCGGGTCAGGATGTCCTAGACAGAAGGGTTTTAATGAGATTTGCTGAGATTGATTCGCGTACCGCCAGCACCATTGGATCTTGCATCTCAATACGGCCATGGGTGATTATGCGACAGGGGTCTTTGCGAGCCTCTCTGCTCCACTGCCAGCGCTGGGCTGATGAGGTGATCCATAATAGGTGGAGTATACATACAGTAGAGTTGGCTTGCATTGTGCTGCATTATGCACAAACCCCAATGGATCCTGTTTGAAACATTCTCAGGATGCTGCGCCCGACAGTCCTTTTCTCACATCTCACCGCAGCAACAATTGCTCCAGATACTATGGCCTGGGCCTGTGATTCATCCAGCTTCCTGGTCATGAAGTTTGCTCGATCCACTCGATATGGCAGGTCTGCCGCAGGCAAGCCTAGGTTCATCCCATGTTTTGTAGACATGGGATGACGGACCCTACCAGGACCCTACCAGTGCCCTTCTCCGGGGTACACGAATCCCAGCTCTTTCAACGTCTTGGCCTGCGTGCCGTGTTGCTCAAACCGTACTTTGGCATCTGCAAAGATGCTGCGCTCCCACCTGCTCTCGTCGTTCCAAAACGGTGCCTCAAGCCCAGCGGGAGACCCCTCCAGTGCCCAGTCGTGCAACTCATTAATATACAGTCCATCCCCGCCATGTGTCGGAAACGTGTGTAGGTTCTCGCCCCTCTCTTTACGGAGACCCCGCTCCCACTTCTCTTGTTCCTCAACGGGTGGCAGGAGCAACGAGTTGGACCACACGGCCGCCACGACAGCCGCCTGGGCCTCCGACAGCGGGAATGGAACCGCCTTCATCAGCAACCCTGGGAAGACCAGCGTCGGGTGCTGTATCAGGAACAGGTGCTTGTACAGCCCGAACACACCCTTGCCCTTGGTTAGGAGCTTGGGCGCGAGCCCAGGGAGGAAGGGATAACTGAAGAGAAAGCCCGTGCAGTATATAATGGCATCTATGCCGGACTGCACCGAACCGTCCTTGAGCCGGATGGCCTGTTGATCAGGAAGAAACTCCACAATCTCGGCAATCTCGGACGCCCCGACGTGCTCAAGTTTGTCAGCCGGGGTCGGACTGCGGACTGATATGAGCGTCTGGGCACCCACGCCGGTAATCTGTCGTGCAATGTCAAGCCCGGAAGGCCCGTTCCCAACCACAACAACCCTTTTGCCGGCGAAAGGCTCCGGGGTTCGATAGTTTTTCGAGTGGATAATAATATTCGGATGAGTCGTGTGAAAGGCTTCGATGTTCTTGACTTCTGGTAGAAACGGCACCGAGTAATGACCATTGGCCACGACTACAGCATCGAAAGTTTCCTTGATGGTTTCATCGACCACGGTTGACTTGGCTTTCAATATCCACCTATCTCTCTCAGCTTCTTGAGTTAACTCGACACTTTCGACCTGAATGTTGAATTTGATGTGAGACCGAAGGTCCTCTGCATAGCCCCCAATATAATCCTGAATGGTCTGACGTGAAGGGTAGGCCCAGGCGTCCTGGGGAAATGGCCGATCCTTGTAGTTCATGAGAGAGCCTGGAATGTTGGCATGGAGCGTCTCGTACATTGGCGAGGGAAACATGGGTGCATCACCGGTCTTCCGTGGTGGCAAAGGCACCTCCGGAGGACCAAATGGATCTGTCTGAGGAACACGAACCGACCCGGGCGGGTCTCGGCTGTAATTCCAGACACCGCCAACTTCGTGCTGTTGTTCGAAAATGACGACTGATGTAAAGACATCACGATCCAGCAAATATCTGGCTGCCGCAAGACCACATGGTCCAGCACCGATAATGGCGATCTTCTTGATATCGAATGGAAGAGGGGCGTAAGAACCCATCGAGAGACCCAGCAAGGACCGCGTATACTGCTAAGTGCCGGTGTAGGCGTCTTGGAAATAGTCCGTTAGTTGATCAAGAGCGGCGACACGACTGAATGCCTTTGAGATGGTGATGGTCCGATGATACAGTGAAGAGATCAACTCATCAACTTAAGCCCTCAGATGGAGTGACTCGAATCATGGACACGGCAGCAATTGGCGCCCTGTATATGCTGACTCATCCGCCAATATTCGGACGATGCGAAAGACGTGAATAGCGGAAATGATATTCTGAACGTCGTTTGGTGTTCTTCAATCGCATCAGCGATGATTTACAGCAAAATATTTGCATCAAGGTACAAACTGTAACGTCGATGTCTCTTGAGCCTTGTTGGCCCAGGCTTGTGAGAGACCAGCACATATGCTCGACGGGTATCTACCTGAGCAAAACAAGCCAAAGAAAAAAAGCCAGAGGAACGTGGTGCCAGGAGAGGGTTGGCTCCAGTGGCTGCCTGGATATACTGATCATGAATAAGGTAGGGACCTCGAGGAGCGAACTAGGATGTCTCTCCCTGCCTTGATGGTACTTGCACGGCACCTACCATCCTGCATGTTTATCGCCTTGAATTTAGCCATTCTGTACAAACAAGCGCACAGACGCCAAACGGCAGGCACGATCAACAGAGGAACTTGGCAGGCACTACCTAGGTATCCACCCAAATCAATCTCACTCGGAGCTTCTTCTCGTTCCACAAATACACCCGATTGCTTCACCACCGCGAGACACCAGAACCCATCTCTGAGCATCATTGTCGGCCTCAACTGCGGCATACCTTGCCGCCCGCGCAACACCCGATGACTTACAGACCCCGACCATCCTTCCACCGCAAACGCTGACGCCTTGCGGCCAACCGACGACCCATGACGACATGGCGGAGAATGACCTGACTGCGCAGCTACGCGCGGGTCTGGGCACCGCAATAGCTGAATTGAATCCCGAGCTTCAGGCCGCTCCAAAGCGCGTCATTCGCGGCGAAATCACCGTTTTCTGGCCCTACAGCCCTTTGCGAGATGTCATAGCCTTCATCCTTGCGGAACCGACTTCCGACTGCGCCGCGATCGTGGCACTGTTCGAATCGAAATTCACAGGTGCTAGCGCGAAGGCTGTCGCGGACCTTGGTCTTGGAGGCGGTGATGAGGTGATACTTAGTCTCGATGGAGCTGCATGGGACGCGCGGGATACTCGTATGCCTGCTATCGGCACTCCGCTGGAATGGCAGCTTCGTTTCAATCACAAGCTGTTGGCGCTAGTAGGCTGGCACCTCCCTTGGCCAACAACTCGTTTCGATCAAGTAGCTGACATCAACAGGTCGCGCGCGTCGCCCATGAAGACACGAAGCTCCTCAATATCGATCTACCCCTTGACAAAGCACAACAGCCCGAAAAGTCAGACGTAGCCGCTCTGGCAGCCGCCATTCAAGATCACGGCCCAGAAGGGTCGATAACGCCGCCCCGTGATCCAACCCCAGAGACGACACTTCGAACAAAACGTCCTGCAGAAGGCATCTTGGAGCCAGGAGAGTTCGCCTCGCCAGCCTTCCTCAAGCGGGCGCGCATTTCATATGGCTCACTCTTCGAGGGCGGCCCAGATCCGTTCGACGACAGAGGCGATGTCCAAGGCAAGGGGCGGAAAACCCCCAAGGCTGGTCGATTTAGTAGCGCATGGAGATATGCAAGCCGATCGCCGACCCCGGATGTTGAAGAAGCCGAGGAGGTCACAAGCGATGACCCGACCAACGATGGTCCGACGGAAACGCCTTCAAAACAGGTGTCCATGGTTGATGGGGGTTGCCAAACCGATGAACTGGGGGTTTCTCCTCCACACCATGTCGATGTGACGGCTGAGCCTCGTATTCACGGACTTGGGGCTTTCGACACCCCTAGCAAGGTACCAGCAGACGCTCACCTCGCAATCCCTTCGTCCGTCCTGCAAGCCGGGCCGGGGGTATCCCCAGCATTGGGTGACCGATTTGCTCCCCTGCATCAGCCCGACTTTGCTACTGTACAGCCGTCGTTCAACACCAGCGAATTTGGTCAGCCGCAACCAGACCAGCAATATGTGCAGGACATCGAGCACTCTTCGAATGGGATCTTCGCTGCTCAAGAACACTACAGCATGGACATGGATGCATTCCCTGACCCACCAACCGCCCACTCTACGCAGTCGCACCATGATTACCCTCCGATCGAAGAGGAAGCAGATTCGCATTTCGCCTCGCAGGTGGCTTCGTATCCTCCCTTGACCCAAAGACAAACGCCCCCGGCTGGGGATCCTTTACATGGCTCGCCACACCACACGGTGTTCGTCGACCGAATTGTTGAACCGCAGCAGCCACCTTGGGGATTTGATGCTACCTCGACATCTTACCCTGATCCTTTGGGAGAGGCGCATACCGCTGACGTAATTGATGTTCCATCAAGCCCTGTGGCCCGTCCCAACCTGCATTTTGTAAATGGCTTGGAAGAGGTAGGCCACGATCAAGGGGACGAGGATGCCAGCGCAGACCCCGAAGACGATATTCATATTCATGATCAGGATGGTCCGGAGGAGGTGTTCGGCGCCCCGACTTTCAGTGAGAGGGATTTTGAGCCGTCTAATATTCAATCTTATGCGACCTCTCGCAGTAGGTCTGCATCTCCAGGGCGTGGCAATGATGATGATGATGAAGAAGGAGAAGAAGAAGAAGAAGAAGAAGAAGGTGAAATGGACGCCGGAGGAGATTACGACATTACGCAATATCGAAACCAAAGCAATGTCCAGGACGACGACGAGGGTTCAGACTTGGAATCTGACTTTGGACAGGAAGAGGAGGAAGAGATCTACAATCCTCGCGACTCGGAGATTGAAGAGGATCAGCTTGATGAAGATGATGAGGAGGAACTCGAAGGGGACGATGACGATGGGGCACTCGAAGACTACTCTGAAGCTGAATCCCCTACAGCTCTAGCGCCCGCCAAACCAAATGGTCCGCCAGAAGTGATGATCTTTTGTCGGACTCTGACGATGATGACAGCTCTCCAGTTCAGCCAGCAGCAGTCAAATCCGAATATCCGTCTGTACCGCAATATGACGGTTCCGCGGATGAAATGGATAGTCCGTCTGGCGAGGAAGTGGTTGATCGCCGTGACTCTCCCGAAGACGGCACTTCTGATCTTGGCAGCGAGGCTGCATCAGAACACGACGAATCGGAGGTAGAGAGCGAAGCTGAGGACGAAGAGGACCTGAGCAGCCCGTTACTTGTGGAAGTGCCCGAAGATGTACGGGAACCGACCGACGATCCAGCTGCATCATCGCCTCTCCTCGAAGATGATTTGGAGTCGATGAGCCCGATCAAGCCACTTCAGGTATCGAGTCAGATACCTGAAAATGAGAGCATCGCCCTGGATAGAGCTGAGGCAGAAACGGACCAACTCGATGCGGAGCTGGAAAAGGAGATGCAACAGACTGTCCAACAAACTGTCCAAGAAGATATACCCCAAGCCTTGGAGGTCAGGTCGTCGGAGATCCTGATCGTTGAGAAGACTACACTTGTAGAGGAGCTTGGGCAGGGCTTGTATCCAAAACCCGACGAAGAAATGCTGGATACCACTCCGGACGAAGCTCTCTCCACTACGGCACCGATGACTGCCCCAGATGACGACACAGAAATGGTGGGCCAAGTTTCTTCCCCTATGAACTTTGCTCCGTCCTCTCCCATGAGAGACACCACGAGGAGAGAAGAGGGACAGCTGGAACCGACACCAGATAATGCGACTGTCGAAGTGCGCCCCGTCTCCCCTACCAGCGCGATACCGGGTCCACCTGATGCCCCTCGAGAACTTGAATATCCAGAAACAGTTCCGGCTCTTCCCCCACAAGTTGACGCACTTGGCCCCAATCCGCACACAGATGCAATTCCCCATGCATCGGACGTTGATCGCAAATCTTCGCAACCGCCTGAACATGGTGAGCAGCGTGTGTTGCCGCCAAAGACCAGCTCTAGCGTGACTAGTGAACCTCCTCAGCAAGACATGCCTCTGGACATAAGAGGTAGTGCCGAAGTCGAATCCGAAGAGGAGCCCTCGGATTCTATGAATGGACACGTGCGCTCAGCCGATGCAACAAACCCAGAACCTTCGCTGCCAGACGTGCCAGACGCGGCGGAAACAGTCCCAGAGGATGATGAGAAGGAGGATGTTGTTATGGAGGACAGGTTTTCTGGAGATGCCGAGTCGCCCAAGGTCACTCATACGTATGAAGGGAATGGACTGGATACCCCCATGGAGGATGCAAATGCTCAACTCCTTACGCCTCATGACACTCAGCAGCAAGAAGTCGAAAAGGAAGGAGAAACTGAAGAGGTAGCCGAGGTGCTATCAGCAGCAGTCATGCCATCCGTGGTTGTGACAAAGCCTGGAGCAAATGACGAGACTCCTCATGAACAGCAGCAGCAGGGTCCCGAGACGCCTCATCCGTCAACCGAAGACTGGATACAGAGTGCCAAGGCAAGTTCGCCAGCGACAAGTGGGCATTGGCCCGAGACCAGATCACAAACGGGCCATCTACCGCCAGACGTGGAACGTGCGCCAACAGCTACAGCGCCAGACGAAGAAGCTCATCTTGAGGCGGACCAGGAACAAACGGTTGTCAAAAGTGTTGGCCATCGTCCAGAAACAAGATCACAATCGAGGCCTCAATCACTGGAGCCCAAGGCATCGTCACCTCAGCCGACTACAGTATCTAGTCCTTCTGGCCAAGAGAATGACGTTGAAGACACGCCGGCCACAAAGACACGCTCGCAACGACAGCGGAGTCAAAGCAAGACAAAGGCCGACGAAGTCGAAGAAGGCGATCCCAGTATCAAGCTGGCGCGAGCATCGGCAACGAACAAGCAAAAGGCTGATCAGGGCGATGACCCGAGCGTCAGGCTCGCTCGAGGTTCCATTGCCAGTAGGCGGTCGACCAGGCTATCCGACTGGCAGCCGACGCCCGACACAGTTCGGGTCACTCGAGCGGCGTGCCACAACCTGCAGAAGGAGGCGACCCCCGAGGCGGAGGAGGACTCAAGCGTGCAGCTGGCGAAAGCTGCGCTCAACTCGCCGTCCCGTGCCGCCAAGGAGAGAGCCGAAGATCATTCTCCGGCTGCCATCAAGCTCAAGCTCAACCGCTCGCTGCGATCAGACGTGCCGGACTGCATCTCGCTCAAGGTGTTTCGCCAGCAGCCCCCGGGCAAGACGGTCGACATTTTGGCGATTGCGACAGCGGAGCCACCCCGGCGCTAAGCGTGCCAAAGGTGGACCGAAAGGCATGATGCTAGCCTTCAGCGTGCAGACCACTCCATCGTGCCGACGCAGCCCGTGCTAGTGCATATTTTCCGGGTGCAAAAGTCGGCACTGCCCATTGTGCATCAAGGCGACGCCGTGCTCCTTCGGCAGTTCAACGTGACCAACATCCAGGGAAAACTCGGCCTCCGATCCACGGACGCGTCGAGCTGGGCCGTCTTCGAGGGCGGGCCGGACGACGAGCGGCCCCCGCAGATCATGGGTCCACCCATGGAGCTCTCGGCGGGCGACAAGGATTTTGCCGTGCTCATAAAGAAGTGGTATCACAGCATCGAAGACGCTCCCAAGGCACGCTGGAGCAAGGCCGGCGAGAAGGCATTGGGCGCGGGGGAGGAAAGCAAGTAGCGGAGGCCCTCTCCGGGACTTGGCCGAGATGATCCGACGCGTTGGATCGATCATGTAAAATTTACTGTATGGTTAACAACGGGGGCGGTGGGAAACTCTCACCATTTGGTCATGTTCCATTCGGAATGGTAACGAGGGCAGTGCAGTGTAGTCATCAGCCAGGGGCAGAAAGTCAGTCATAGGTCAAGCACCTTCACGAAGAGATAAGAAACCACCACCATTGTTGGAATAGGAAAACACCCAATCCTACCCGCATCGTGACATCCCGGCTCGTTCCCACCCCCCTTGCCTGCGAAATGGGGCGAAGACGCAAAGTTTACGAAGAGAAAAAATTATAGAGGGGGCGTGTGCATTGCACTATCGAGCTATCGCGTCCCGCCATGTTCTTTCTATGCGCTCTGCTTGTTTGTTTGGCCTTGCTTGTGTTGCGTCTTGCCTGTCCCGAGCCCCTTTCTCCCCCTCCATCCACCTAGGTAGCGGGGTGCGTGCCACACGGCCTCGCCAAGGCCTGGAGAACCCCGTGGAGAACGGGAGAGCTGGATCGGCGTCCAGGGGATCCGCAGGCCGAGGTGCGACAGCTTTGGCGGCGACGTTCGCCGGGGGGGGGGGGGGAAAGAAGGGTGGTATACACTTCCTTGCAAGA